TAAGATTTCAAATTTATTTTTTATTAATTTTACCAAAAAAGACCTAATATCAATTAAACAGATATGATATTTAATTATACTAAGTGAATTTGTAGTCTTAATTAAAGTTATTCAGTATAGTAAGAAGTATTAGAATCTCTGTTTTTATAATTATTAAATGTAAACTCATTGAAAAACAATGATTTTTCTTATTAAAAACATATATAAACAATTTTTTAAAGAAAATAATTAAACGTAATTAGTTTCAGATTAATTATTGGTATTCTAAACCTATTTTATACTTCTAAGTAAAGTAGTAGAGCATGTTTTCATCTATTAGTATATAAATTTTCAGCTTTTTAGAGTTAATGTTCATCAAGATATTAATGTTTTTCTATTTTGTTTCATAGATGAATTTTGTTTTGATATAAATACAATGATCGATTGAACTCATCATTTTCTATCATAATTTTAAACCTTATACTGCGCATTAAGTAATTATAGAATAAGTGTATGAAATTTTTTCCTGAAAATTTAAGCTTGATTCATCAATAGTTCATGGAGATATAACATTTTTTTATTAAAAAACTACTCACGAAAATTTTTCTTTAAAGTTTACAAAACTGGTTTTGTTAATTTGATCATTTCATTCAAAGATAATATACTAAATGATACTAATGAAATTGATAAAGATGATATTTAAGAATTCACATATTAAATTTCAAGTCAAACAAATTTATATTTATGAAATTGGTTCAATTTTTGATGAAATGATTTTCATCTTATCTTTAATAATTTAAAATTTATTAAGACTACTGATATTTAATTCTAATTATTTAATATCTTTATAAATTAGATTTACGATTATCTAAAGCATTTGAATTTTTATGACTAATATATTTTGTTGTAATAAATTGATGAAAATAAAAAGTTTTTCCTTTAAAATGTGCTCTAATTGAATATCAATTACATGTTTTATTAATATACCAATGATGTTTTTTTAAATATTTATAATTTTTAATATTACAAAGAAAAGTTTTTTTGCTACTAGTTTTAACTTCTAAGTAAGGTATTTTTTTAATTGAAATAATTCTAATTTGATCATGAATTTTTTTACCAAATAGTTTTTTCATTCCACAAATCCATTTTGTAAAAACTTTATATGATTTAAATTCTTTTTCCAAATTGATTTTTTTGTTTCTTGTTTAAAATTCATTTTTTGTAGAAATTTTTGCACTGTAGATATTTTGACATTGTGAAAATTTTGATACAATAAAAATTTTGTATTCTATTTATATTTTTTATTTAATTATATTAATAAATAATATAAATTATATTTTATATTAATAATTATTTTGATTTATTTTATTTATTTTTATAAATAATAAATAAAATAGTCATAATACAAATCAAATTTATATAAAATTTTACTATGCTAAATGATTTTGTAGTCTTAATAAAAGTTGTTTAGTCTAGTAAGAAGTACTAGAATCTTTGTTTTTATGAATATTGGATCTAAACTCATTGAATAATAAAGATTTTTCTCATTAAAAATATATATAAATAATTTTTTAAAGAAAATAATTAAATGTAATCAACTTTGGATTAATTTTCTTTATTCAAACCTATTTTACACTTCTAAGTAAAGTTGTTGAGCATGTTTTCATCTATTAGTATATAAATTTTCAGATTTTTAGAATTAGTATTCATTGAGATATTAACGTTTTTCTATTTTATTTCATAGATGAATTTTTATCTTTGATATAAACAATGATCGATTAAACTTATCATTTTTTATTTTATTTCTAAACTTTATACTGCGCATTAAGATGATTGATAAAGTAAGTATATAAAATTTTTTCTTGAAAATTTGAGTTTGTTTCATCAAGAATTTATAAAGATATAGTATTTTTCATTTAAAACTATTAATAAATTTTCTTCTTTAAAGTTTACAGAACCAATTTTGTTAATTTGACTATTTCATTCAAAGAAAACATATTGTACGATACTAATGAAGTTAGTACAGATGACATTCAAGAATTTATATATTAAATTTCAAGTCAAACAGATTTATATTCATGAAATTAGCTCAATTTTTGATAAAATGATTTTCATGTTGTCTTTGCAGATCATTTGTTTTTAAATCGTTATCAGTTCAAAAATCACATTTTACACAAAATTTTACTAAGCTAATCGACTTTATAGCATTAATAAAATATGTAGAACCTATTAACAACCTTTTAGTTTCATAAAACCATTTTACTTATTTTATTAATAAATTTTTCAGAAATTACATTTAAATTTGTTAATAAAAAATATCCAAATATTGGATTAAAAATGAAAAAATATGATATTAAACTTATGAATTTTATATCGTTGATAATAATAATTTTCCTGTTGAAAATATATCAGAAAATATAAAATGTTATGTATTTTCTGGTCCTAAAAAATTATTAAAAGAAGCAAGAAAAATTAATGGAATCGATAGTTGGATAACTTTGTGGGCTGATGATTTTGTATTTAAAATTGATAGTAAAGCTTTTTTTTGATTACAAACTTTATATTCTCATGCTATGTGTCATTTAAAGAAATAGAAAAAAGTTAAAATTAACTTAAAATTACTTGAATATAATATTGAAAATAATGAAAGTAATGAAGAGATAGAATTTGAGATAATAGAAGTTTCAGAAAATAAAAAATAGGTTTATTTTTTTTTAATATTTTTATTATTTATTATTAATAAAATTATATAAATATTTCATATTATTTAAGTTAAATTATCAAATGGATTTATTAAATATTTCAGATCTTTTATTTTATATTTTTGCTTTTTTTTCATCTCATCAACGTGAAAATGTTAAAATAGTATTAAGAAATTTCTATCAATTATACATTTTATATCTTAAACAAAAAAACAGTTTAGATTCAACTAGATATATTTTTTATTGTTCTAAGAATATTAAAAATTCATTTCAACAATCTTTATTATTTTATAAGATTGACCATTTCAATGGAAATTTTATTTATTTTAAAGGTAAAACATGTTTATATGACAGATGCAAACAATATAAAAAATTACATTATCATTGTTCTTATAATAATATTAAAAATTGTAAGAATTGTAAAAAAGATGAATTGGAAAAACAAAAATTTTATTCAATTGTAATGATTATAGGCAGAACTAACCTAGAATTCCCTATTCATAGGGTAGCTGATACATCGTTAGCATAATGTTGGACATTACTATACTCGAAAGAGGCATTGGATTTGGTGAGTGTAAGGTGGGTATTTATTACTATACATCCTGTACGTTCTGTTCTCTCTATTCTATACATTTTAAGCGCATTACTTATATACTTTTTCCCTATCTGCTAAATACACTATTTATGCTCTATACACTATATATGCTATATTTACTTTATGTGCTATATCTGCTATATCTTCTATATACACTATATACGCTATATCCTCTATATATGCTATATATTCTATATTTACTAATTACGCTAAATACTCTATATCTACTAATTATGCTATATGCATGCTAAACCTATTAATAATTATGTACTATTATTTAATTATGCGATCAATCTTTGACGATCCTACTTTAGATCGTGACACAATAAATTTGGAATGGTTTATAGTAAATTTCAAAAGAATCATATTTATTTATATGAGAAAGAATTTAAAGAAGAAATTCTTAAAAAGAATTGTGATCGATGTAATAGGTATCAGTTTAATTATGAGTGTGGTATTTTAAATAAATTATATGAAATTAATAATTGTAAAAAAGATCCATTTATATTTATAGATTCTTTCAGAGATTTAAAATTAGATATTGAATCATTTTATTGCAAGCACAATTTTTGTAAATCTTGTATTAAAAAATTAACAGTTGATCATTTACAAAAATTTTTAAATTTATATAAAACTTTTATTATTAGATTAAAATAATTATATATATTTAAATTTTATAAATATCTTTTCAATTTTTATACATTTTTTAATTAATAAAATAATAAAAAACAAAATGTCTGAAGCACTGAAATTAACTGAAGAAGAATTAATACAATAAGAAAATATAAATTTATCAAATGAAATTCAAGATATATGTTAATGGAATCTTGCTTTACTAGCAGATAATAAAGAATTAATAAGAGAAAATACTAGATTGATTAATGAAAATAAACAATTCAAATTAAATAATTAATAATTAGAAATTAATAATAGAAGATTAGTTGATAGAAATAATGAGTTAGTTGAAATTAATAATACATTAAAAGTAGCTTTTCAAAATAATGATATGAGAAATTTTTTAAATAGAAAACTAAGTTTAACTCAAATGATTTTTATTAATATGATAATTGTTTATTCATCAATATTTTTATTTTTTATAATTTGTTATAATTTTGACTATAGCTTTATGTGTATAACTTTTACTTATAAATAAAATTAAGTCATATTATTTTTAAATTATTGTAGAATATATTGTAAAGTTAAAGAATTAATATAATCAATAAGTTTTTTTTTGTTTTTTACATTTTTGAATTTCAGTTTTAATAGTTGTAAAAGTATTTAAATTTTTAAAAATCAATTATAAATAATTATTATTTTCATCTATAAGTGTTTTTGTTAAAGTATCAATAATTCACAAACTTTGTTATTTTCTGCTTCTGTTAATAAATCTTGTTCAGATATTGTAAAATATCCAGCAGGATCATTATTATAAATATAATTATTAACATTATATTGAATTAAAGTAATTAATGATTTTGTTTGAATATTCATTTTTTTTATTTAAGTTATATTTATTTTCTAGTGAATATATATATATTAATTTAAATTTGATATACACCAATCAAATTATATTTCTTTATCAATTCTAAATTAAGAATTTAATTTAAAATTTATTAAATAGTTTTTCCAAAACAAATATTTAAACATTCTTAATTTGATTATAATATTAAAAAAAAATGAAATTAATTTGAATGAATTGCACATCTGCTTGCAAATTTTGTCAAATAAAAAAAGTCAAATGTGACAATAAAAAACCTTGCACACAATGTCATAAATGTAATTTAGTTTGTGAACTATCAGAGAAAACTAAAAAACAGGGTCCTCAATTAAAAAATAATGATAAATTAAAATTAAAATATATTTTAATTTAAATATATTAAATTTTATAACCATTTTTGTTTTCTGTTTTCTTATTATGTTCTAATTTAAAATCTATAGCTTGTTGTTTTGCTTGTTCACTATTTCTATTTTTATTAATACAAAACCATCTAGTTTTATGTTTATTATTTTCATACCAATAAAATCCCCAAGCTTTTTTATATATATGAAATGAAATTCTATTATATCCTAATGAATTATCTTTTTGTAAAATACAATTTAATGCATTTTGTTTTGGTGTTGTTTCTTGAAGATTACATTTATGATTATCTATTCCAATTCTATTAATATGATCAATCATTTTATATTTTGGAAATACTAAATGATGAAAGTGTAAAATTTTCTTTTTTTTATTAATTGTTGTTCTAATATAAAATATATTACTTTGTTTTTCCTTATAAGAATACCAAGTAAAATTTTTAATTAAATTGAAATTATCGAGATCTGTTAAGAATGTAATCTTTTGAGTTTGTGTTGACACTTCATTGAACAGTGTTGCATCAATTTCAACAAGTCAATAAGAATTTGATTTTAATTTTGGTTTGATGATTGGTAGCTTGATCCAAGCTGACAAAACTTCGAATGAATCAAATATTTTTTTCCAAGATGATTTTTCAGTTTCTTCCTCTAATGACTACATTTTTAAAAGTTCTAATTAAAGAACATTCATTAAATTTATATACTTTTACATTTCTCTGAATCAAATTCAAAAAACAATTTTTTTGATAATTAAATATAAATATTACAGAATTAATTATTAAAATTAAAAAAAATATGATTGAAATTGTGAGTCTTTTTGAAGGTCAATGATCAAGTTATTTTAAATATTATAAAACTTTGCAATTTATGATTAAGATTTATAAGATTAAAAATAAAAATTATTTATTAGTTACATTTTATGATAATTTGTTAAATAAAATTTCTGTTCCTGAATTTATCAAATGTGAAGGATTTAGTAATAGAAATTTAATTATAAAAACTACATTACCTAATACAAATTCATTTTTAATTTTGTATCCTAGTAAATATAATTTATATTACAAAAAAGAATGTATTTTATCTTTTATT